TTTTTTTTTTGCCGTTAGAAGACCACATTTAATGACTACGATTTATTCTTGTTTCTTTCGCTAAGTCATACATTTTTTTTTTTATATAACAATATATATTGCAGGTTTGGCTTATCAGAGGTGTTGGTATCAGACAATGAGACTCAATTTAATGGCAAGCAGATTCGAACCTGGTGCGAAGACATGAAGATTGAACAACATTTCGCCTCGGTAGTTCATCCGCAAGCCAACGGGGAAGTGAAGGTTACAAATAGTCATTCTTAATGGATTGAAGACGAGACTCGAAAAGGCTTGGGGGGCATGGGTCGATGAACTCACATAAGTACTTTTGGCATACAAGGTCACTCTGAGGTCAACAACAGGGGAAACCCCATTCAGTTTGGTGTATGAGATGGAGGCGTTGTTACCGGTCGAGGTAGTGTTGGATTCTCAAAGGTCGAGCACATACGATCAAGATCAAAACAAGGAGTTGGCCTGAGTAGCTTTAGACACAATTGACGAACTGAGGGAGCAGGCGTCGACTAAAGTTGCGACCTACAAACAAAAGATGCGAGCTTTCCATGACAAGAAGGTTAATATTCAGAGATTCCAGGTGGACGACCAGGTATGGAAAAGAATTGACGTGCTGAAACATGTTGGCAAGTTGGATCCAAATTGGGAAGGTCTTTACCTGGTCGAGAAAGTCCATGCCGAAGGAGCCTACTCGTTGAGAAGGTCAATCAATCGAGTTAAACCAAAATCATATCTCATACAGTGGGCAAAATTGGATGTCCCTGGTGGAGGGTGATTAAAATGATAACTTGACATACTTCACACTTCAACATTCTCAAAATCTAATGGCCTCAGTGGAAGGTCGATTAAATTGGCAATCACTTGGGATATTCTTTCATGGAGTTACTACTGATTAATAAATTTATCTAGTCAACTTAGTGGGCATGTTTTTCGTGATGAACCATCATAATATGAGCACAAAATTGGGGAAATAAGTATAACAATCATAGAACAAACGAATACATGTTTAAGAGATACAAACAGTTCAAAATAAAATTACATAAGTGATATGGCACATTAGCCGTTGCTGCAACATTGACAGATTATTATATTTCATATCTTTACATTAAATCAATTTCAATTATTTTCTATTAAATATTATTTTAATAAAAATTTTAAATTGCACTAACAACTAATTATACTAATTTTTTACAAAAATTACTCTACTTAATAAAAAAAACTTGTTTTGAGTGAATATATTCATATACATGCACGTCCTAAATTAGCCCTCATCCCATTACATATGCAGATTTATAATTTATAAAATCCAAGAGCGCTTGGATGAGATGACTTGAGTTTCTTCCAGTTTAACCAGTGGTCTCGTGTTCGTGCCTTGGGAATGCAGCAGTGTTAAAAACTCTTGAGGGAGAGCTTTGCCGCCCTTGTGGTCCTACTCGGCTCGATTCCGGATTAGTCGGTTCCCCTGTAGATCCGAAACCGGAAGGTCCCTGTACAAAAAAAAAATAATTTATAAACATACAAAAACAAGGGTAGTGTTGTAAATCGAGATTAACTGATTAGGGTTTATGCTTTCCCGTCAGTATAAAACCGCACTCCACCCTCTTCACCTCTTCAGAAGCAAACTCTACCGGCGCCGGCATCATTCCACCTGCAGGTTAGAATGGAGCTTCGACCCTCTAATCATCCTTTTGTATGCATAAGATTTCGCTTGCTATGTGTTTTTTCAACACTTTTAATTGAGAAAGTCCCGATTTTGAAATGGTTCATATATATAAAGAAATCTAGATGATTTGGTTTTACGTTTCCTTTGATTATTAGGTTGAAGGTGAACAATTTTCAGAGTTCTTTTCGTAAAATGTATGGATTTGCAATGCACCGCGTTTATAATTTTTTTTTTTTTTTTTTTTTTT